GCAGTTCGACTCCATCATACAGGGCTGCTGTGCTCAGAATATTACAGTTATTACATTGTTTTATGTAACATGTCTAACTCTAATATTTGAGGGCATAGGAAATGTGTTTTCATTTTTATTCTTAACATAGCAGGACCTCAATATTCAATTAAGGATTGAATGAATAAAAATATGTCCATACCCTCAAAAATTCCAAGGGAGACAGACATGTGTTATTATTATTATCCCTGTTTTTTAAAAAAGTCATTGCAAATGCAGATGATACCATAGCAGAGGCATGTCTAGGGTGTGGTAGGTAAATAATAGGAAGGTCGAGACAATCTGGGATCCGGGAAGGCTGTTGGAATCATCAAAGTGAGGAATTATGAGTACAGAGACGGTGGGGCAATTAAGATGTACTCAATATTTACCTAAAGGAAGCACTTGTGGGAGATGAGTCTAGGGTAGGCCCAGGTTTTCTGACTGAGTATGGGCGGATAGTGATGATATATCCAGGATATGAAGTGCAAGAGAGGAATAGGGCTGACTCATGAAGAGGAAACTACTTTTCTGCTATTTATACTTTACTTATGTAGGTGGCTTACATCCTCTAATCATGAATTTTCATTTAAAAAAAATAAGTGGCTGTTATTGATAGTTGTTAGGTGCTGTCAAGTTGGTTCTGACTCATAGCGACCCTGCATACAACTGAAGGAACACTGCTGAGTCCTGTGCGAGCCTCACCATTTCTGCTGTGCTTGAGCCCATCATTGCAGTCACGTGTCGGTCCATCTCGCTGGGGCTCCCCTCATTCCCTGACCCTCTGCTTTACTGAGCATGATATCCTTCTCCAGGGACTGGTCCTCTGACAACATGACCAAAGTGTAAGAGACAAAGTCTGGCTATTCTTGCTTCTAAGGAGAATTCCAGCTGTAGTTCTTCCAAGGCAGATTTGTTCATTCCAGCAGTCTGTTGCTATTTTCACTATTCTTCACCAACACCATAACTCAAATACATCAATCAGTCTTACAGTCTTCCTTGTCCAGTTTTCACATGCATATAAGACTATTGAAAAGACTATGGCTTATGGGCGGTACATCTTAATCTTCAAAGTGACATCCTTGCTTCTTTAACACTGTGCAGAGGTCTTTTGCAGTAGATTTGCCCAGTGCAATGAATACATCGTATTTCTTGAAGATGCTTCCATGGATGTTAATTTTGGATCCAAGTAAAATGAAATCCCTGACTTCAATCTTGTTTCCACTTATTGTGATGCTGCATATTGGTGCAGTTGTGAGGACTTTTGTTTTCTTTAATGTTTAGGTGTAATCCACACTGAAGGCTGCAGTCTTTGATTTTCATCAGTGCTTCCACTCTTCTTCACTTTCAGCAAGCAAGGTGGAGTCATGTGTGTATCACAGGTTCTTAATGAGTCTTCTTCCAATCCCAATGCTACGTTCTTCTTTATATAGTAGCTTGTCGCATTATTTGCTCAGCAGATTGAATAAGTATGGTGAAAGAATACAACATTGGCACACACCTTTCTTGATTTTAAACCACTCAATATTCCCTCGTTCTCTTTGAGTAACTGCTTCTTGGTCTACGTACAGTTTCTTCTTGAGTGCAATCACATGTTCTGCAATTCCCATTCTTTGCAGTGTTATCTATAACTTGTTATGATCCATACAGTCAAATGTCTTTGCATGTCTTTCTGGCATTCTTTGCTTTTAGCCAATATTCCTCTGATACCAGAAATGATATCCCTGGTTCCATGCTCTCTTCTGAATCTGGGTCAACTTTCTGCAAGTTCCCTGCCAATATACTGCTAGAACTGTTTTTAATTATCTTTAGCAAAATGTTATTTTCATGTGATATTAATGATATTATTTGATAATTTCCACATTCTGTTGAATCACCTTTCTTCAGAATGGGCCCAAATATGGATCTCTTCCAGTCAGTTGACCAGCTCAGCTGGCTATCTTCCAGATATCTTGGTGTAAACAATGGCTACAGTACTGCATTCACATCTCATTGGGTATTCCATCAATTCCTAGAGCCTTGTTTTTCACCAATTCCTTCAGTAAAACTTGGACATCTTCCTTCAGTACCATCAGTTCTTAATCATATACTACCTTCTGAAGTAGTTGAACATCAACCAATTCTTTTTGGTACAATAATTGGTACATTAATTCAACATTCCATCTTCTTTTGATGCTTCCTGCCCATAGAATCCTATCTTTTTTTTTTTTTTTACCACGTTGTTGTTGTTATTTGCTATCAAGTCGGACTCAACTCATAACGACCCCTCCTTGGGTTTCTGAGGCAGTATCACTACGGAAGTAGATTGCTCAAACTTCCTTCCAAGGAGTGGCTGGTGGGTTTGAACCATCAGCCTTCTGGTTAACAGTCAAGTGCCTTAGGCACTACGCTAATCCTAAAATATTGCAACTTGAGGCTTGAGTTTTTTCTTCAGATCTTTCAGCTTGAGAAACGCCAAGCATGCTTTTTGCTATTGGTTTCCTAACTCCAGGTCTTTACACATTTCATTTTAGTACTTTACTTTGTCTTCTCAATCCACCCTTTGAAATCTACCATTCAGCTCTTTTTTGCTTTAATTACTCTCAATTCATGAGCAAGTTTCAGAGTCTCTTCTAACATCCATTTTGCTCTTTTCTTTCTTTCTTGCAGCTAGTAACTATGAATTTTTATTAAGTCAGACTGACGGAGAAGTAATCAGAAAATCTAGTTTGTCTTAGCCCAGTTGTACATGTACCTAAGTAAATTGAAATTCATGAGGTATATTTGTGCTGTAGCAATACTTTCTAGATTAACCAGGAAAAAAAATTAATTGGATTTCAAGCAGTTGTTGTTTTTGTTGTTGGTAGGTGCCATCCAGTTGTCTCCAACTCATAGGAGCCCTATGTGCAACAGAACGAAACTGCCCAGTCCTGCACCAGCCTCACAATCCCTGCTACACCTGAGCCCACTGTTGTGGCTATGCATCAATCCATCTTGTTCTGGGCCTTCCCCTTTTTCTCTGAGCCTCCACTTTACCAAGCATGATATTCTTCTCCAGGGAATGGTCCCTTCTGACAACATAACCAAAGTAGGTGAGGCGAAGTCTGGCCATCCTTGCTTCCGAGGAGCATTCCAGCTGTACTTCTTCCAGGACAGATTTGTTAGTTCTTCTGGCAGTCCATGGTGCTTTCAGTATTCTTCACCAACACCACAACTCAAAAGCATCAACTCTTCTTCAGTCTTCCTTATTCACTGTCCAGCTTTCACAAGCATATGAGGCTATTGAAAACACCATGGGTTGTGTTAGGTGCACTTTAGTCTTCAAAGGGGAGCTCTGGTGGGGTACTGCCTAAGGCATTTGACTGCTACCCAGAAAGCTGAGGGTTCAAACCCACCAGCCACTCCTCAGAAGGAAGATTGGGCAATCTACTTTGTTAGTGATATCGCCTCAGAAACCCAAGGAGGAGTCCCTGAGTCGGATCTGACTTGACGGCAGTGAGTTTGATTTGGTTTTCGGAGTCTTCAAAGACACATCTTTGCTCTTCAGCACTTGAAAGAGAGCTTTTGCAGCAGATTTGCCCCCGCAATCTGTCGTCTGTTGTTTTAACTGCTGCTTCCATTGGTGTTGATTGTGAAACCAAGTAATATGAAATCTTTGACAGCTTCAATCTTTTCTCCATTTACTGTGATGCTGCTTATTGGACCAGTTGTGAGGATTTTCATTTTCTTTATGTTGAGGTGTAATCCATACTGTAGACTGTAGTCTTTAATCTTTATCAGTAAGTGCTTCAAATCATCTTCACTTTCAGCAAGCTAAAGTTGGCCTGTATCTATTTCTAAGTTCCTAAGGCCAAAAATTGGAATACAGAACACACTCAACATTATGAAATAATTAGAACTTTAGCTTATAAATCCTATGAATTACCCGAATTCGTACTTTTTGGGGTGTAACAAGTGATTTACTATACAATTATATGATCGTAATTGAAATTTTCACTAGATAATACATATTCAGGTTTTTAAATATAATAATTAGATACATAATTAATTATATATCTATTTTGAAATAAAATTAGATATATATAATAATTAGAAATATTTATTTATTTATTTTGTGCCCTCTGATTTACAGATACAAAGACTAGAATTTGAGAGTAATAGCAAACGTAACAGAGTATCTTTTGGAACATTAACTATTTAAAGTTGTTCTACTAATGCCTTAACTATCCTGGATAAAACAAGATATTTCAGAGTTCCAGGTATATACAGCATTACAAATAAAATGATTCAGAATAAATTTCTTGGTTTAATAATGCCAAACAAATTAACATGGGAAGGAAAACTTAAAAAGCAAAATGAAGAAGTCATAATCCGTAGTGATACTGCCTCGAAAACCCAAGGAGGGGTCGCTATGAGTCGGGGCCGACTCGACGGCACATAACAACAACAACAACAGGAAAAAAATCATGTAGTTTTTCCATATCTTGAGCATTCATTTATTTGGACAGAAAGTGTTACTGCCATCAGTATAGAAGTTAAAACTGTTCAACATGAATGGGAGTCATTTGTACAGAATACAAACATCAGAGTTTCACAATATGCTAAAAACTATCCACCAAAAAAACCAAACTCACTGCCGTCGAGTCAGATCCAACTCATAGTGACGCCTCCTTGGGTTTCTGAGGCAGTATCACTATAGAAGTAGATTGCCCAATCTTCTGAAAAGTGGCTAATGTGTTTGAACTACCAGCCTTCTGGTTAGTAGTCAAATGCCTTAGGCACTATGCCACCAGAGCTCCAGTGAATTATAAATAAAGTAGAATTATGTAGTATTCTATTTGACACTGCAAAAAGAAGCTAAAAAAATTCCTGAGCCCACAAGTCAATGGAAAAAATATGCATTCTGGCCAATCAAAACTGTTAGAATATAAATTTATCTGGTGAAAGTACATTTTTCCATGCAAACTGATTGTCTTTTTCAGATTTAAAACAAATTTGTATTCATGAAGAATGACTGCATAAAAACCATAATATGTCAAGAAAGAAAAAAAGATCCAATAGAAATGTTTCATTCTGGACAGCTGGTAAAAGTCTGTGCCCCAATGGTTCGGTACTCAAAGTAAGTATTGTAACAATTAATGAGCTAAGACGAGATTTCCTTTCCATGCTTTGACTTTTTAAAAAGTGCTTGAGACCTCCCCACTGTGTGGGCACTGCTGCTACTGTTTGCCTGGTATGTGTATGATAGTCAGTAGGACAGTTAATCTCTTCAGGCTTCCCTTTTTACATCTGAAGAATAGTGGTGGTTATAACTCCCACCTATAAGGATATACTAAACCAAAAACCCCCATCTGTAGAGTCAATCCAATTTTAATTCATAGCAATCCTATAGGATAGAGTAAAACAGCACAAAGATGTGCTGTACATCTTTACAAAAGCTGACTACCACATCTTTCTCCTGGGAAGCAGCTGGTGGGTTTGAACCACTGACCTTTTTGTGTTGGAAGCTGAGCGTTTTAACCACTGTGATACTAGGGCTTCTTATAAGGATATGGTGGATGTTAAATGGATACAGACATCCCTGTTACCGGTTTTTGTGTGCATCTAAGTTGTCATTTTTCAGGAATAAATGCCTAGGAATATAATTACTGGGTCACATGGTACTTGGAAGTTTAGTTCTATAAGCAGTTTAGTTTAAATTTATAAAAACTGCCAAACTTTCAGAGTGGCTATACCAGTCCGTGCTCCCACCAACAATGTATGAGTGATCCTGTTTGTTCTCATCCTTACGAACATTTGATAGTCACTGCTTTATATGTTAGCCATTCTAATACATGTGTAGTTTTCTTGTTTGTTTCATATATAATATCCAGGGTTTTAATTATACTTAGCAAGAGGAATAAGTATATCTATTCCATTCTCTCCAAGGCTGAACTCTCCCCTAGTAAGTATTTAGTAATTAAAGTTGGAAGTACATATGATTACCATGTTTTCTAAATGTCTAATTTAAGTTTCATATGCTCACAGGTTGGCTTTTAGAACATTAGTAAGAAAATACAATTGTGATCTGTGTTATACACCAATGATAGTTGCTGCTGATTTTGTGAGATCTGTGAAAGCCAGGGACAGTGAGTTTACCACAAACCAAGGTATGTGAAACCCAGTTTGCTAACTTTGTAAAACTTTTTTAAAATGAAAAGCAAAAAAAAAACCCTCAACTATCTTATTTAATCAAAGACAACACAATTCAGAGGTATTATTTCAAAATCTTTTAGTGGACAGTTCTTACTTCAAAGTCACTTGCTTTCCTTTTCAAAACAGAAGTGAATCATGCAGTCAGTGTTTTTACTGAGTGCCTTACAAATGTAGCAATAATAGACCCAAGAGTAAGATCAGCTCTTGTTAAGGCCCTTATCTTGTCCCTTGGACTGTTAAAATAGAGTACTGTCCATAGTGACCTTTCTAAAATGAAAATTTGATCGTATCTCTTCCTGTTCTTCTCATTGCCTCAAGAAATGGCTCTCAAAGTGTGATCCCCAGACCAGCAGCAGGACAGTAGGCTGGAAATGTGTTACAAATGGAAATGTTTGGACTCCACCCCAGACCTACTGAGTCAAAAACTCCGGGGTGTAGTCCAGTAATCTGTGTTTTAACAGGCTCCCGAGGTGATTCTGTATTTGCTAAAGATAAAGAGCCACTGGCATAAATAATAAAATTTCAGAACCTGGGCAACACACAAAGTGCTTCATGAGCCTCTGAATCTATTTTCTGCATCCTTATCTTCCCTCAGCTCCTCCCCACAACCCACCCACAATATTCTTTAAAAATACTGAATTATCTTAAATCCTGATCATGCCCTGTTATCTCACTTCTCTATCTAGAATGTCCTGCCCAGTCCTGCCTATCTCCCAGATCCTGATCTCTGGCAAACTACAGTTCACGCTTCTTAATCCAGCATCCAAAGTTTGTGGCCAAGGAATCTTTCCTGATCACCTTCCACTCATATGCTCCCTCTTAAGCACTTAAGCACTAGCTCTGCATTGTTTACTTACTCATACTGTGTTATAATTTCTTCTATATGCCTCTCTCTCCCACTAGTCCGAGGGTTCCTTGAGAGCTGGAGCTATTTCTTTCTTTCCTTTTTTTTTTTTATTTTGCTGTTTCATATTTGTATGCTTAGCATCTAGCACAGGGTTGAAAATGTATTAGACTAATAAATAGTTGTTGAGATAGTATAACTCTCCTGTATTACAAAAGGAAAAGCACCCTACATCCTCATAAAGAAAAAGCAAGTTTTTCAATTATAGTTCTGTAAATCAGTGGTTGCCCTAGGCATCCTGAATCAGTACATCTGAGGGGATATAAACAATCTGCATTTTAGCAAACATGCAGTGAGTCTCATATAGAAAACTAAGAAACGTTGAAATACATCTGTCTAAAATTTATAATGTCTAACCCAAAAATGAGAAAAAGCTGTTCTTTAAAATCTAGGAAAGCTCTGGTACAGTTGGCTATAATAAAATTTAAAACTTTTATGTACAACAAAAGACCGCTAATATACTCAAAGACAAGGAAAAAATATAACACGTGATAGTGACTAATTTATTTACTTAAAAAATTACAAATAATAGTAATTTAAAAAAACTAATAGAAATGTGCAAAGAATATGAAGAGAGAGCCCACAAATAAAAATATACAAGTGTTGGATATAGATTATAGGATAGATTAGATTGTAAGGAAACAATCACTTTCATCTATATTGGTGTGTGCCTGTGCTGTTAACCTCTTAGAAGATAATTTTATAATTATCAAAATGTTAAATGCGTGTATCCAACAGGTACGTGATTCTAGGAATTTACTCTGAATATACTCACAAAAGCATATATGTAATAGTACCATTGTAGCATTATTTGCAAGGGCCACAAAAGAAAAACAATCTAGAAGTGGAATATTGTGCATACTATAGTACTATGCTATAAGATTTCATACATTGTATACATACAATGGAATTATAACCACTAAAAAAAAAAATATATATGTGTGACTACATCGCCCAGATACATCAGGAAAAAATCAATAGGCACAGCAGTGTATACAGAATGTTAGTATTTGTTTAAATTTTACAGGTATATGCATAAAATTATTCTGGAAGGATACAATAAATTCTCACTTTTGAGAGGAAGGTTTGTTTGTCAGGAGTGTGGGAAAACTTTTATTTTTCATTTTATCACATTCTGCACTTTTAATTTTTACTAAATATAAATTGCTTTTAATTTAAAATGTTTCAATGACATCTTATTTGAATAGCTCTTTCTTAGGTTAAAAATAGTTATCTTATCCTATACAGATGTTAGAGTTTGGTATCATTCTTGTATGTGTGTGTCAATGTTTTTTCTTTCCTGTGACTCTTAATGATGAGCTATTCATTTTATTAGGTGATTGCCCATTGATTGTTCAGTTTGCTGCTAATGATGCAAGACTTTTATCTGATGCTGCTCGCATAGTCTGTCCTTATGTGAATGGAATAGACATTAACTGTGGTTGCCCTCAGAGGTAAAGCTCAAAGAAGTTGGAAGAATTTTCAGAAAGATTAGAAAAAATCTGTGTGAACATGGTAAACTATCTTTCTAGTTTTCCACAACTTAAAAAGTAAGAGAAAGAGGATGAAAGCCCCGGGGCACCAAGTGCTTCTCTGCAAGGAAAAATCACTTAGGAACATACTGCAGAGGTCTTTTCTGATGGCCAGGCCAGCGCATAGACCTCTGAAGTGTTTTATCTCACCTCATCACTACAGTGTTTATGTGTGGGTCTGCCTTGAACCTCATCCATAAGTAGTTTATGTGAGAATCTAATGTTTATAGCAATCCCTAAAATGTATTTTTTAGTTCCATTTCAGACAGTTCTGCTCTTAAAAACTAAGATTCTTTAATCTGGGAGATCACCACATGTTTTCTCCTAATTAATTTTCCTAATAAAAATACTTTTTTATGATAACCTTTTCTTTCTATACCACAGTAAGTTGGTAAAAATATCTGGATATTGACAGAATGTACTCTGTTTGACAATAATGCCCCTTCCTTACTGGCACTGTACTAGGCTATCTGTCAATAATTTTAATTGTTTCCAAAGAAAGAAATCAAGATTTCAAGTACAACATAATCCAAATAAGATTAAACATATTTGTATACTCAGTAGGAGCATTAAAATAAGCTGTGAGCTAAAAATGTCTCTCTAGAGACTAATGAGACTTCTTGTTAGGTGTAATCAACATCAAATTTGGAATTAAGAAAATCTGAAGTCATTGCAATTAATTACAAATACTTAAATCTGTTTTGGTTGAATGAATTTTAATTTTCTGATTTGCCAATGAAAACCACTTCCCCCAAGTACTTTTTGATCTGGGAACATATTTTCCTCAGCTCCTATTGATCCATTTCAAAATGTTAGATTTATCAATTTTAAAAGTATGCTTCCATTTTAGATTGCTACATAGAAAAATAGATAGATGCAATTATAGTTCAATGCTTACATTTAGATTTTTATGTTTTCTTCCAGCTATTTACAAGTCATGTTTCCTATTCTTGTCTTTTTGCTTCATAAAGGTGGGCAATGGCAGAAGGTTATGGGGCTTGCTTAATAAATAAACCAGAGCTTATTCGAGATATGGTGAAACAAGTAAGAAACCAAGTGGAAAACCCCAGATTTTCAGTATCTATTAAAATAAGGTAAAGACAATATTTTAGTCTATTGGCATGATTGTCCATTACAGACAGTCCCTAGAGTATGAATGAGATCTGTTCCTAAGTGTGTCCTTAAATCTAATTTATAGGTAAGTTGGAACAGGTACATATGGTTCTTATTTAACCTTACTTTAAAATTCAAGAAAAGGATCCAAGCCATTCCAATAATTTAAAAGCTGCACGTACAGCAAGTGAAAGTGATTGTGATAAAGAATTTGGTGCCAGTAGAGGTTGGTTCCATCATTTCAAAGTGAGGGCAAATTTACATAACATTAAAGGGCAAGTATGGGTTGTCCCTAAGTCATAACTCAGAGGAAGATTCATAACCCCAAGGACTTCCCTTACTTAAGAAATAAGAACATACTCCTTTGTCCAGGTAGTAGGAACTAAATAAATTGGTAACTGTTGTTATTGTTACGTGCCATCGAGTCGGACCCAACTCATAGTGACCCCTCCTTGGGTTTCCGAGGCAGTATCACTATGGAAGTAGATTGCCCAACCTTCCAAGTTGTGGCTGGTGGGTTTGAACCACCAGCCTTCTAGTTAACAGTCAAATGCCTTAGGCACTAAAATTCATAACTAGTATATGGAAATACTGAAACAAGGCATTTAGTAAATAAAAATATAACCAAAATTTGTATTTATAATCCAAAACAACTTCCTCTTCTTCATATTTTTTAACAAATAAAAAAATACCCCTTTATGACTAAAAACTTTTCCTAAAAGAAACCCTCAGTTTTTCCATATACTATTTAATTAAGACTAAGAAACATTCCTGGTACCAAGAGTAGTATATAGTACTGATAAATGCACTCAGATTTCTCAATGAAAATAAAATATGCCAGAAATCTGTTTTTTGGTGACAGCTAAACATTTGAAGATAAAGTATTCTGTACTCCCACTTGAATTGGGATATGCGTAGTAAATTTAAGGATAAAAAACACCAAATCCATTGACGTTGCATCAATTATGACTCTGACTCATAGTGACCCTATAGGACAGAGTAGGACTGTCCCATAGGATGTCCAAGGCTGTAAACCTTTTGCATGTAAAGTGGCTGGACTGTTCAAATCACCAGTGTTTCAGTTACCAACCAAGTACTTTACTTCTGAGCCACCAGACATCCTTAAATACTAGGATCCCACTACCACGGATTCAATTCCTACTCACAGTGACCTATAGGACACCATAGAGCTGCCCCATAGGGTTTCAAAAGCTGCAATTTTTTTCTTCTTTATGGCTGAATAATGTTCTAGTGTATATACATACACATTTTGTTTATCCGTTGATCTGTTGATAGACACTCAGGTATCAAAGGCTACAAATCTTTACAGATGCAGACTGCCACATTTATTCTCACAGAGTGGCTAGTGGGTTTGAACCACCAACATTTTAGTTAGCAGCCAAGTGCTTTAACCACTGTGCCACCAAGGCTCCTTAAATATTAGGATTGTTGCTGCTGCTCAGGTTGTTAATTCACTCCTGACTTATAGCAACCCTGTGTACAGTAGAACAAAACACAACCCAATCCTGTGCTATCCTCACAGTTGTTGCTGTTGCAGCCTCTTGTAGCAGCCACTGTGTCAGTCCATCTCATTGAGGGTCTTCCTCTTTTCCCCTGACCCTCTGCATTACCAACCATGATGTCCTTTTCCAGGGACTAGTCCCTCCTGATAATGTCTCCAAAGTATGAGTCAGAGTCTCGCCACCTTTGCTTCTAAGGAGCATTCTGCTTGTACGTCTTTCAAGACAAATGTGTTGGTTCTTCTGGCTGTCCATGGTATATTCAGTATTCTCCAACACCATGATTCAGATGGATCACTTCTGCTTTGTCGTCTTACTCATTGTCCAGCTGTCACACGCATGTGAGTTGATTAAGAATAGATGCCTTGGGTCAGGCACACTTTAGACCTCAAGGTGACATCTTTGCTTTTCAACACTTTCAAGAGCCCTTATGTAGCAGATTTGTCCAATGCAATACGTTGTTTGAATTCCTGACTACTTTTCCCATGGGCATTGATTGTAGATTCAAATAAAATTAAATCCTTGGCAATTTCAGTATTTTCTCCATTTATCAAGATGTCGTTTATTGTTCCATTTGTGAGGATTTTGTTTTCTTTATGTTGAGGTGTAATCCATACTGAGATTATTACTTGCTTGCTATGTGCCGTCAACTCGGCCCCAACTCATAGCGACCCCTCCTTGGGTTTCCGAGGCAGTGTTACTACAAAAGTAGGATTGCTCAACCTTCCTTCCGTGGAGTGGCTGGTGGGTTTGAACTGCCAGCCTTCTGGTTAGCAGTCAAATGCCTTAGGCACTATGCTACCAGAGCTCCCACTGAGACTACAGTATTTGATTTTCATCTTAAGTGCTTCGAGTCATCTTCTTTTTCAGCAAGCAAGGTTGTGTTATGTGCCTATCACAGTTGGTTAATGAGTTTTTCTCCAGTCCTTATGTTGCATTCTTCATACAGTCCAGCTTCTCAGATTATTTACTCAGCATACAGATTAAATAAGAATGGTAAAAGATACAACCCTGATGCAACCTTTCCTGATTCTTAAACCATACATTATCCCCTTTTTCTGTTAAAATGACTGCCTCTTGAGTATATACAGGTTCCACATAAACACAATTAAGTTCTAGAATTTCCATTCTTCACAATGTTATCCATAATCTGTTACAATCCACACAATTGAATGCCTTTCCATAGTCAATAAAACACAGTAAATATTTTTCTGGTATTTTTCTTTTCAGCCAAGATCTATTTGATGTCAGCAATGATATCCCTCATTCAATGTCTTTTTCTGAATCTGGCTTGAATTTCTGGCAGTTCCCTATGAATGCAATGCTGCAATCATTTTTTAATTATCTTCAAAATTTTACTTGCATATAAATAATATTATTCGATTATTTCTGCATTCAGTTAGATCACCTTTCTTTGGAATAGACATGCATATGGATCTCTTCTAGTCTGTTGGCCAGGGAGCTGTCTTCCAAATTTCTTGGCATAGGTGAGGGAGCACTTCTAGTGTTACATCCATTTGTTGAAACATCTCAACTAGTATCCCATCAATTCCTGGAGCCTTGTTTTTTGTCACTGCCTTCAGTGCAGCTTGGACTTCTTCCTTCCATACCATCAATTCTTGATGATACCTCCTAAAATGGTTGAAATTCTTTTTGGTACAGTGACTCTGTGTATTCCGTCCATTGTCTTTTGATGTTAACTGTGTCGTTCAGTATTTTGCCCAAGGAATCCTTCAATACTGCAACTCAAGGCTTAAATTTTTTCTCCAGTTCTTTCAGCTTGAGAAATGCCGAGCGTGTTCTTCCTTTTTGATTTTCCAACTTCATGTTATTACACATTTCATTATAATACTTTGTCTTCTCGAGCTACCCTTCAAAAAATTCTATTCAGCTCCTTTGCATCATCATTTCTTCCATTTGCTTTAGCTACTCTATATTCAAGAGCAACTTTCAGAGTGTTTTCTAACATCTATTTTGGTCTTTTCTTTCTTCTTTGTTTTTTAACTACCTTTTGCTTTCTTCATCTATGATGTTCTGATGTCATCCCAGAACTAGTCTGGTCTTTCGTTACTAGTGTCCAGTGTGTCATATCTCTTCTTGAGATGCTCTCTAAATTCAGATGGGATATACTAAAGGTCTTATTTTCACTCTCATAGACTTGTTTTAATTTTCTTCAGCTTCAACTTGAACTTGCATATGAGTGATGGTGTGTTCCCGTCAGTCTCTCACCTTGTTCTGACTGATGATACTGAGCTTCTCCATCATCTCTTTCACAATTGTAGTTGATTCGATTCATGTGTATTCCATCCAGTGAGGTCCACAGGTATAGCCATCATTTATGTTGTTGAAAAAAGGTATTTGCAATGAGTATGTCATTGGTCTTGAAAAATTCTGTCATGTGATTTCAGCAATTGCCTCTGTCACCAAGAACATATTTTCCAGCTACTGATTGTAAAAATGGCATAGCAGAGACATCTATCCTCTAACTTCATAGGGGGGAAGGAGGATCAAGAACAACCCAAGGCTGATTCCTATGAGGCAAAAGTCAGACATGCCTCCACCTTCCAACCTTTTTACTAATTCTGGCATGAACTTTCTCTCCCATGGCATTTTCTGCTTCTCTCTGCATGCAATAATCTGTGCAGTTGACAGAGAACTCACAGATGGTATATTTAATGGTGTTTATTAAGGAAGTAAAAGGTTACAATCCAGGATCAAAAACAAGTCAGGATGTAGCTCTTTCATCAGGGCAGCCTCTTGTCAACAGTGCCCACAGGCACACCTCTCTCAGGCTCTCCGCCCTCCCCCCACACTCCCCCCATAGCCCACTGGCCTCTACCTTTCCTCCTGTAAGTGTTTCAAAGCTCTTTTAGTTCTGCCATAAGTGTCCAGTGGTACCCCACTCCAATAAGCCTCCTGCCCAAACATGCTTAGCTTTCTCCCTGGCCCAGGAAGTCTGCTGCACCTTCTTCTCCAGTTTTCTGCCAGCCTCTGCTCATTTCCTGTTGGTCTCTTGGTTCTGCTCCTGATGTTTTCTCTGACATTGCTCCTCACCATCTCCAGTATTACAACTCTCTGTTTCTCTATTCCCTGGATCTGGGAGGTTCTCAGCACAGAGATTCTGGGTTCAAAGGCTGTGCCTCTCCCAGCTCTTTTTTTTTTTTATTAATAGTGAGATTTTCCCTCTCCCACTTCTAGGATGGCTCATTTTAAGCTTACAGGATGGCAAAACTAAACAATCCCCTCATTTGGGTTCCATATACCTTATTTGCAGGGTCTCACTCCTACAAGGGTACCATACACCTTACATACAATATTAGCAAGCAATCCACTCCCAATGATGGGCCACAAGCACCAGTTTGCATAGTCCCACCCAGTCTTTTGGTGAAAGTGATACAAAACTGTCACTAGAAGAGCCATATTAAGTAATTCACCTCACCATACCAATCTTTTTTTTCTAACTTTTCCATTCTGGGATCTCTGGTAGCATAGTACCTAAGGCATTTGACTGCTAACCAGAGGCTGGTGGTTCAAACCCACCAGCCACTCTTTGGAAGGAAGACTGAGTAATCTACTTCCATAGAGATACTGCTGCAGAAACCCAAGGAGAGGTCACTATGAGTCGGAGTCTAATCACCAATAATTATCAGTGCATCTTGATTGCATGTTTTATCAATTTCAAACTGGAGAATTTAGTAAAAATCTTCAATTTCTTCATCTTTGACATCAATTGTTGGTACGTAAATTTGAATAATAACCAGTGTTCCTTGTATTCTCTCACTGCCGTCAAGTTGGATCTGACTTACAGCAACCCCTCACATCAGCACATCAGCAAATGAGAGCTGTACTCCATCCGTATCATTAAGGTCCACTCTACTTTGAGGAGGTGCCTTTTCCCTAGTTATATTTTGAGTGCTTTCTGACCTGAGGGGCTCATCTTCTGGCACTATATCAGTGTTCCACTGCTATTCATAAGGTTTTCACTGGGCAGTGTTTTCAGAAGTACATCACCAGGTCCTCGCTCCTAGTCTAAGTCTGGAAGCTCCACTGAAACCTGACCGTGGATGACTCTGCTGGTATTTGAAATTACAGTGGCATAGCTTCCAGCGTCACAGCAAAACACCTGCCACCACACTACTACAAACTGATAGAGAATGGTGGAAAATATTAGGATAGCATCTTTTAATTCATCTGTGACAATACTTTGGTATACACAAAAGGGTAGAGCACCAAGTACAATGAAACTTATTTGTCATCCTATTGTCAGTAGTGAAATACCTAACTTTGAGGTCTTAACTGGGAACTGACATGTGACCAAAACCTGATAATGGCATGAATTTATATGTGTGTGTGTGTGTGTGTATATATATATATAAAATATATAGCAAATTAATACATATATGTATATATATAGCAAAGCTAGCTAAATAGTATATGAATGCATTTTATTTATTTTATTAATTGTAGTCTTAATATTTGTATGCTGTGAACATATAGGTATAATTTTGTAATTACAGGATTCATGATGACCTTACAAGAACTGTAGATCTCTGTCGAAAGGCTGAAGCAACAGGAGTGTCTTGGATTACAGTCCATGGAAGAACTGTTGAAGAAAGACATCAGCCAGTCCACTATGATGCCATTAAAATAATTAAAGAAAATATGTCTGTACCTATAATTGCTAATGGAGACATCAGAACCTTAAAAGAAGCAGAAAATGTGTGGCAAATTACCAGGACAAATGGTAACAAATATGTACTTAGGTTTTAAATAAAGTTGAGGGGAGGGTAATGTTAATATGATTTTCATTATTTTTCTTTAACATTGAGTCTTATTTTCCCATTGTACTGATTACGATAAGCAACTTACTAAATGACATTAATGATTTCTACTTGGGAACAATAAGAACAACAACAACAGCAGTTGACCTTGAGTGAATTCCACCTCCCAGTGACCCCGTGTGTCAGAGTAGAACTGTTCCCCAGAGGGTTTTCCGTAGTTGATTTTTGGAAATAGAGCTCTAGGCTTTTCTTCTGAGGTGCCACTGGGTGGACTCATTTGCCAGCCTGTTGGTTATTAGCCAATCAAGGTAACCATTTGCACCATCAAGAGACTTCTTAGGAACAAAAAAGTTTTTTTAACGGGGTAAATTAATTCAGTTGCTTTGCCACCACCATCATATCTAGTGACTGATTTTGAATCTTCCAGATAGCCTATTAGCAAAATAGAGCACCTAGAATAGAAATGAGAGTTAATGAACTCAAAAAGTGATCATAGGAGCCAAAGGAACCCGAGAACTACTATGCAGTTTCATTCTCTCATTTAATTATTAGTATGTAATAATTATCACAAGCCCTGTCATAGCTATTAATAGATGGGAGAACACAGATAAAATTAACTGTAAGCAAACTCAGTTTACCCTAAAGAAAAACTAAAGACTAATTGTTTAATATAAAAATCTTGAAAAAAGAATTTCTATAAGTACATTTAAACTTTCTTAGTTTACAAAAAGTATGAAAATTGTTTTGTATTTGAAAATCCTATGAAGCAATTCTGTTCTGCACACGTGAGGTTGCCATGAATCAAAATCGACTGAAGGCTACTAACGACATAATTGGGTTACAGGCTAATGTAATAAGAGTATTGTGAAATCTTATAATAATATCATATTTTTTAAATATATTCTGTTTCATAAGAATTTGACCTAATAAGCAGAGGTTGTTAAAGTGTGGACAAACATAGTATGCTTTACTTTGTAGGTGTGATGGTTGCAAGAGGACTCTTGGCAAACCCGGCCATGTTTGCTGGATATGAGGAAACTCCACTGAAATGCATCTGGGACTGGGTTGACATTGCTCTTGAACTCGGAACTCCTTATATGTGTTTCCATCAGCATTTAATGTACATGATGGAAAAGATAACTTCAAGGCAGGAAAAAAGAGTGTTTAATGCTTTGTCAAGCACATCAGCAGTATTAGATTACCTTACAGACCATTATGGCATTTGACCAGACTTTCTAAATTTTAACAGATACTTCATTTTATACTTAAAATGAAACCACCTTCTTGGTTTTTACTTTAAAACAGTGGCTGTCAAACTTCAGTATAAAAACAGCCCCCTGGGGAACAATTTTTAAAACTCAGTCCTAGACCTCCACTCTCAGGTAGATCTGGAGGTGACCCAGAAATTTACAGGTTGAAAGGAGATCCCCACTCATTAAGACATTAACAGACACTGCTCTGGATCCTTTTATGATTGAAAAGAAAATGGGAAATTTTTCATAAAGAAATCATTGTTTTTAACCTTTAAATAAAACTTTGTAAGTTTGAGAAAATATGACTCATCTAGTATCTATAAATTAGTAAGAAGTACGTTTTTAATGAAAATAAGTGCAGAGACATGGAGAGTAAATGCCAACATCCCTGTAAAATGAAAAGTAACAAGTTCTGTATAGAATTGTAATCACAGTTTAGATTAAAAATTCAAATGGGAAAGTCAACTTAATACTTGCTAATTGAATTGCGAACCTCAAGATGTTTGCTTCAAATTATACATAATACCATTTAATAAGACATGATGCTTTTTATCGTTTAAAACTAAGATTCCATGAAACTCTTAATATTACGTTAACTTGTTTTATATTTCAGGCTTTCCAGATCCTTAGAAAAGATCTTGATAAATATAGCCATATCTGAAATGCTAAAATTAATTGCACTGCCCACACTTTAAGAAAGTTTGGTAGCTAATCGTGAGATGATTATGTACTTGAAATACTACTTCTGGAGAATAGTAACCATTTTTATTTTTAATTTAAAAACTTAGTTTTAATAATCTGTTTCTAAGTGATGTTATTTCTGTGCCTTCTAGCAAAAAAAGTACATGTAATACATACAAATTACATTATTGTTATGTGCTGTCACGTTGCCTCCAACTCATAGCGACCTTACGTACAACAGAATCAAACACTGCCCAGTCCTATGCCAGCCTCATGATCCATACTATACCTGAGTCTATAACTGCAGCCATGTGGCAATCCATTTTCTTGAGGGCCTTGCCCTCTTTCATTGACCCTCCACTTACCATGCATGACATCCTTCTTCAGAGAATGGTCCCTCTGACAACATGACCAAAGTAGGTAAGACGAAGCCTGGCCATTTTCACTTCCAAGGATCATTCCAGCTGCATTTCTTCCAGGACAGATTTGTTAGTTCTTTTGGCAGTCCACAGTTACTTTAAGCATTCTTAGCCAACACCACAACTCAAAAGCATCTATTCTTCTTCGGTCTTCCTTACTCATTGCCCAGCTCTCACATGCATATAAGGTGATTGAAAATACCATGGTTTGGTTCAGGCGCATCTTAAGTCTTCAAGGAGATACCACTGTTCTTCAGTGCTTCAAAGAGGTTTTTTGCAACAGATTTGACCAATGCAATACATCTTTTGATGTCTTGACTGCTGCTTCCATTGACATTGACTGTAGAACCAAGTAATAGGAAGTCTTTGACAACTTCAATCTTTTCTCCATCTAGGATGATCCTGCTTATTGATGTAGTTGTGAGGATTTTTGTTTTATTTATACTGAGGTGTAATCCATACTGCAGACTGTAGTCTTCAGTCTTCATCAGTAAATGCTCCAAGTCATCCTCACTTTCAGCAAGCGTCTGCGTATCGCAGGTTGTTAATGAGCCTTCCTCCCATCCTGACTCCACGCTCTTCTTCATATAGTCCAGCTTCTCAGATTATTTGTTCAGCATACAGATTGAATAAGTATGGTGAAAGGATTTAACCCTGATGCACTTTCTTCTTGATTTTAAACCATGCAGTATCATTTGTTCTGTTTGAACAACAGCTTCCTGGTCTATGTACGGGTTCCTCATGAGTACAATTAAGTGTTCTGGAATTCCCAATCTTAATGTTATCCACAGTTTGTTATGATCCACACAATCAAATGTCTTTGACAGTCAATAAAACACAAGTAAACATCTTTCTGGTATTCTTTGCTTTCAGCCAAGATCTGGCTGACATCACTTATTATCTCTTGCTCCACATCCCCTTCTGAAACCAGCCTGCATTTCTGGAAGTTCTCAGTCAGTGTACTGCTGCAACCGTTTCTTAATTACCTTCAGTAAGATTGTACTTGTGTGTGATATCAATGATATTGTTCAATATTTTCCACATTCTCTGGGATCACCTTTCTTTGGATTGGGTACAAATATGATCTCTTCGAGTCAGTTGGCCAGATAACTGTCTTCCAAATCTCTGGGCATAGCCGAATGAGTATCTCCAGTGCAGCATCTATTTGTTGAAGCATCTTGATGGGTATTCCATCAATTCCCAGTGCCTTGTTTTTCGCCAATTTCTTCAGTGCAGGTTTCAACTTCTTCCTTCATACCATTGGTTCTTGACCAAATGCCACCTCCTGAAATGGATGATCATGTACAAATTCTTTTTGGTATAGTGACTCTGTGTATTCCATCCATCTTCTGATGTTTCTTACATCATTCAACATACTGCCCATGGAATCTTTCAATATTGTAATTCAAGGCTTAAATTTTTTCCTCAGTTCTTTCAGCTTGAGAAATGGCAAGCATGTTATTCCCTTTTGGTTTTCTAACTCCAGATCTTTACACATTTCACTATAATACCTGACTTTGTCTTCTCGAGTGCTTTTTGAAATCATCTGTTCAGCTCTTTTATCCTGTTGATTCTTCCGTTTGCTTTAGCACTCTCTGTTCAAGGGTGAGTTTTAGAGTCTCTTCTGACATCCATTTTGGTCTTTTCTTCCATTCTTTTCTTTTTAATGACCTTTTGCTTTCTTCATGGATTCTTAATGTCATCCCCCAATTCCTCTGGTTTTTGGTCACTGGTGTTCAATGCATATCAATTTCTTTAGATGGTCTCTAAATTCAGGAAGGATACAATCAAGGTCATATTGTGGCTCTCATGGACTTGTTTTAATTGTCTTCAGCTTCAACTTGAACTTGCATATGAACAGCTGGTGGTCTGTTCCACAGTCAGCTTCTGGCCTTATTTTGGCTGAAGATATTGAGCTTTTCCAGTGCTTCTTGCCACAGATGTAGTCAGTCTGATTCCTTGTGCTCCGTCTGGTGAAGTCCATGTATATAGCTGCTGTTTGTATTGTTGAAAAAAAGGTATTTGCAAAGAATAAGTCATTGGTCTTGCAAGATTCTTATCATGCGATCTCAAGCATCATTTCTATCACCAAGGCCATATTTTCCAACTACCAGTGATTTTTGTTTCCAACTTTTACATTCCAATCACCAGTGATCAACACATCTTGATTGCATGTTCAGTTTCCTCATCTGGCTTTGGTGGTTGGTGTATAAATTTGAATAATAGTAGTATTAACTGGCCTTCCTCATAGACGTATGGATATTATCCTATCACTGAAAGTATTGTACTTCAGAACAGATTTTGATAATATTCTTTGTGATGATGAATGCCATGCTATTCTTCGATTTGTCATTCCTGGCATAGTAGATCATATGATCATCTGATCAAAAGTGGCCAAAACCAGTCTATTGCACCTCACTAATGCCTAGGATGGGAGCTCTGGTAGCATAGTGGCTAAGACACTTGCCTGCTAACCAGACGGCTGGCAGTTCAAACCCACCAGCCACTCCTCGGAAGGAAGGTTGGGCAATCCTACTTCCGTAGTGATACTGCCTCGGAAACCCAAGGAGGGGTCGCTATGAGTCGGGTTTGACTCGATGGCACATAACAACAACAACAATGCCTAGGATATAGATCTTTATGCATTACATTTTATTTTTGACAACTTCCAATTTTCCTAGATTCATACTTCGTACATTCCATGTTCTAATTATTAATGGATGTTTCCAGCTGTTTCTTCTCATCTTGAGACGTGCCACGTCACCAAATGGGGTCCTAAAAGCTTTATTCTATCCACATCATTAAAGTCAGCTCTACTCTGAGGAGGCAGCTCTTCTCCAGTTGTATTTTGAGTCCCTTCTAACCTGAGGGGCTCATCTTCTGTCACTATATCACACAATGTTTCACGACTATTCATAAAGTTTTCCATAATATATCAGACAGTATTGCACTGCTATTCATAAGGTTTTCACTAGCCAATTCTTTAAGAAGTGCACGGTCTCTTCCTTCTTCCAAGTTTATCTTAGACTGGAAGCTCTGCTGAAACCTGTCTACCATGGATATCCCTGCTGGCATTTACAACAGTGGCATAGCCTCCAGCCTCACAGCAACATTCAAGCCACCATAGTATGACAAAGTGACAGACAAGTTTGTCTCCCTCAGCTGTTCCAAACTGCTCTGCTCATTTCCTGGTCTCCCCTGCCCTGCTCACTTACCTGGCCTGCCCCCAGGGCACAAACACTCACCTTTCACTGGCTCACTGCATGCGGTCTGCCCCTGGGGCGGCTCCATGTGCACAAATGCCCGCCTTCTGCTGGTCCCAGGGCTGGCTTACTGCACAAATAGTATAATACATACAAATAATTTTAACTTTAAAATTTCATGATTTGTAAATGTTACTAATAAAATTTTGTTACTGGTATATTTGCCACTGTAAGAATTAAGTATCCCCAGTTGAAATAAAACAATTCAATAATTAATGTAAACCAAAAAAAAAAAAACCACAAACTCACTGCCATCGAGTTGATTCAACTTACAGTGACCCCCTCCGTGTGTTTCTGAGGCAGTATCTCTATGGAAGTAGATTACCCAACCTTTCTTCCAAGGAGTGACTGGTAGGTTTGAACTGTCAGCCTTCTGGTTAGCAGTCACATGCCTTATGCACTACACCACTAGAGCTCCTATAATTAATATATTGTTCTATATTACCAGTATGCAAATGGTTATGAGACAGTTACTAAAACTGCTTAATTCAAGATTTTGAGAGATTAAATGAATCAATCAACATAAGCATAGTGTGGCCATCTTTCTTCTTAGGCACATTCACAGGCCTTTCAGTTGATACATTTTTTTTAAATAAACTGGATTTTTCGTGTAATATGAATACCATGTAAATAAATAAGCTATTATCATTAGTCATTTTTATGTTTGTAAATTAACTCAAGTCAATTATACTAAAGTTGTGAAGAACGTGCACAGCGTTTTGAAGGAACCAGTGTGGGAGTGCAACAAGTTCTAACATTTGATTTTTTAAGAAATTCTGTATGGTTACTTTATGTTCATCTTGGTCCTTTTTTTTCCCTCATATATGTGATCAAATATATTTGTGAAAAAAAAATCAGTTTATATGTTTTTATATTCTATAATTATTTTTATTTCAACATAACAATGTTTCTAAAATTGTCTCCAAGGGATTAGTACTTTGATTTGCATTCCTGATATGTTGTCAATATTGGGAGAGAAAAAGAATCTTTAATAATTTGTGTATTCACTCAATTTGAAGACCTGGAAGGTATTAACTCAAAGAATATGCCATACACCCCACGTTGTCTTCCTTTCTTACTGATCCCCAAAATATCACTCCAAAGTTCATTGGCCTGTTTCCAGCCCATGGACAAGAACAAAAACTTAAAGACTTGTGACACTCCTGATTTCCCCACATTCTAAGAACAAAATGTTGCACAGCCATCCAAACCCGACCCTTTTCATATATAACATCCTTCCAGATAGTTCCTACATTAAAGAGCGACAAAAAATGACATACGTAATAGAAAAGGAATGGATTTGCACCATAGTGGCTGAGACACTTGCCTGCTAACCAGACGGCTGGCGGTTCAAACCC